GCCAAAAAACAGGCATGCACATTGGTCTTCAGCTTTCCAAGGCTCCAGCATGCACGAAGACCAGCTGGCTGGCACACGTGTGCATGCCAAAAACACAAAGACCAGCTGGCTGGTGCATGCATGCATATCGGCCAGTTGGTCTTCAGGTTTCCGGTGTTCCGGCATGCACACATGCACGCACATGTACGTGCGTTCCAGTTTGGGCACTCGCCATCACTGTTCTAGGACATTGTTTGAAGGGACTAAAGAAGTAAATGGAAGGAATATAAAGTCAGTTTATTTAATCAAGGTTAAAATAGACTTTTGCCAACATCAGGATTGAAATGACAAGGTTCTACAGATTTCTTTATAAATAAGAAATGAGATATGGAAAGAAGAGATCATTTGTGGTATTTTAAGAGAAAATGAAGATGGAAAGTCACTTCCTTTTATATTTCTTTTTCTTTTGTCTTAATTTTATTGTAATTATAATTCTTAATAAAATTACTATTAAAAAAAGGAAAAGAGGTCGCACAGGTACAATCTGATCAAAAGCTCAGCCAGCCTTTTATTCCAAGTGGCAACCAAAGCTTCAGTCTCACCATGTGTCATACCTTCAAAAACAACTCCAAATTTCCATTGAAACCCAACCAGGTCCATCAGAATGATTATAGAATGTAATCTGCCATGCTGGTACAATGTGGGTTGCCATATATTTTTCAGAGTAGTTAGCTTTTCAAAGTAGCTAGTTCAAAGTAGCTAGTTCAAAGTAGTTTTCAAATTAAGACTAGACGGGTTACAACTGGCTTTTCCCACTTCTATCGCAGCATCTTAATCATTACATACACTGGCACTCTCAGTTGTATGAGTGTATATATGCATGTGTTTATGCATGTATGTGTCTGTCTGTCTATTTCTCTATCTCTGTATCTCTCCTGCAGAGATATTTAAGACCAGATTAAATATAGATTGTGCTCAGTTAACAAAACAGTTAATGGTCAATTTCTCCCTTTTAAAATGGCTTGCTTAAATTGACAGAAGTAATTGCTGCTCTGGAAATGGAGCAAAAGACAGGAAAGAGCTTCTGGATAAATTATTATAGCATTATGCAGGAGTCCCACGTGGGAGTAAGATAACAGAATGGAGAAGAGAGCACATGTGGGGAGAGTACATCACGGAATGCAGTCAGAAAATGACAGAATGGAAACTGGGGTCTCTCCCCAGAGTGTTGATAGGATATACTGTGTAAAGAATTACCACTTGGACAGAAGCAGGATGAGAAAGAGTTTATCTCTGTGTGCGTATGTGCATGTGTGCATACAGGTGAAAGTTGCATTGGGATTGGGAGACAGTCCAGAAAGAGCTAAGGCACTCCTTCCTTTTCCTTGCTTGCCTTAGCACCCAGTGTCCCACTCAAATGAGAATAAATTGAAAAGCACCTACTGTTATGAAACTAAATAGGAATGCTTTACTGGTGGGTCAAATTGGCTGAGCAAAATGAATTTATTCACCAGTCGTGCTTCAACACTTTCTGTGGGAAAGGGCTTAGGACAGGGGTGGGTTCTACTTACCTTTACTACCGGGATCGCAACGGGATCGTGCGCACCTTCTGTGCATGTGCAGATCACTGATGACAACATCCAGGGCGGTGGGCAGGGCCTCCTGCCAGTTTTACTACTGGTTCTTGCGAACCGGTCCAAACCAGGGGCAACCCACCACTGGCTTAGGAGTGGTCCCAAACCGGCTGATCACCTCAGCAAGGCAAGGAAAGTATATTATAAGCAACTCCCTCAGACATAACAAGGATGAGAGGGAATTCCCTGAGTGTTTTGGAATCCTGGGGGAGGCAGAAAAACCCCTTATCCTTGCTTGGATTGCATGCCTAGATTCTTGGGGTGGGTAATGTTTGAGGGAGGCTGTTTTCAAAACCTGAATATTGGGGTGAGGCTAGGTGGAACAAAGCAGGCAACACATAGCATCTCCTTGACTTTGGGTCACATTAGCAAGATGATTCCTGTTTCAGCGAGTTGCCCTGTTAGTCATAGTTTACAGATCTCTTTTTGTCAATGCTACTCAGATTGGGAAGGGGCGCCGGCAGTTTATCCACATATTTATGTTTTGTTCATAGGCCAGATGTGGGTGCAAAGGTTCAAGAGGTGCTTTGAAAAAAATCAAAGGGTATTATGCTGAAAACCAGTATGGTAGCTCCTCTTGCTCCTCCTGTGACCTCTCTGTGACCCTTCCTCAAAGCAAAGCATTGTTCTAATGCTGGCTATCAATATAATATCTGCATCTGCAGCACAGAGGGTCTCTGCACACATTGTCTCACCCAAATGCCTGACTGTGAAGAAAGTCCACTCAGGTGTCCAACAGACGTGCAGGGAATCCATCAGTTCAGCCTGGTTCTTGCAGGATAAAGCACCAGAGTGAACCGATCCCATGTACGGCTTTCCAAAGGACCCATACACCCTGAAGATTTGTACTGGGGCCAGAACAAAGCAGCAGGGCAAGTGGACAGCACAAAGGTCACTTCCAAAGGACAGGGTGAGTAGGAATGTCAGTAAGTACTTCCCACAATTCACCATTCATGAGCCATGGTGGCGCAGTGGTTAGAGTACAGTATTGCAGGCTACTTCTACTGACTGCTGGCTGACTGCAATTTGGCAGTTCAAATACAACCAGGCTCAAGGTTGACTCAGCCTTCCATTCTGCCAAGGTGAGTAAAATGAGGACCCAAATTGTTGGGGGCAATATGCTGACTCTGTGAACTGCTTAGAGAAGGCTGTAAAGCACTGTGAAGCGGTATATAAGTCTAAGTGATATTGCTAGTGCTATTGTTACCCTTAATCTTCCAGCTATGGCAGAGATACGATTCTCTTTTTCAAGGGAGCACAACCCAGGCACATTAGTTGTCCATCCTTACCCTCCAGACATTATGAATAGAGATTTACTACCCACAAGTTCTTCATTTCTGTCAATTACCAAGACCTAAATGGCCACATCACACTTAACTGGATGCTGCAGGTGACTGTCCTTCACCCGGTGTGCAACAGAACCCCTGGAGGGAAACTTTGAAAGAGAGGAAGAGAAGAAGGGAGAAACAGAGAGGGACACTTTTTAAAGAACATAAAAGGGAAAACATGGACAACAGTGGCAATGTTTATTGTGACATTGCGGGAGGTCATTGCAGTCACTGTGTGAAGGGTATTTCAGAGACTATCACATATGAATCAAAAAGTCTTTTGGAAGCACTCAGAGATGAGATGTCCTTCCAAAGTAGAACATTGTCAGAATTGTATGAGAAGTACGACGCACGAGAAAGGGCTCTGGGATGTACCACCTTGCCTCTCTGCCCTTTCTGTGCCCTTGTAGTGGAAGATCCCCAGCTTGCATAATCATAAATCAGCATCCTCTCCCAGCCCTCACGCTTTCTTTTTTCCTGACACTAGTCTTTTTCTGACCTTCTTGCTTATCTCTCAAGCTGCAAACTTGAAGGCCTGAGGACAGGAAATCCTGCTCAGGCAAGGACAGCAGAAGGCAGCCCTGCTTTAACAGCACCTTCATCTCCTTAAGTGCCCTTATGCAACTGAGTCTTATGTGTATTTTTTTTAAAAAAATTGCATCTATCGCTAAATGTGGGTAGACCAGATAATGAAGGAGAGGGTGTTATCCAGCATTTAGAAGCAAGGAAATGCAGGTGAAACTTATTTGGTCTCCTTAATCACTTGGATCAGCAAGGTTGGGTTTGTTTGTTTGTTTGTTTGTTTGTTTGTTTGTTTGTTTGTTTGTTTTGTTATGGAAATGTCTCCAAGCAGAAAGGGTGGGCTTTCTAGGGGATTTTCATTAGTACATCTGCTATTTACTACCCAGTTTATTTATTGTATTGTCCAAGATCTGTACAGAACCCAGTATTCTTACAACCAGTTCATAGAAGATCACAATGAAATCATGTATATCTGTCAGTTATTATTAAGGAAAAGGTCCAATGGTGACTTTTATCTGTATGGTCACCAGAAATTAGACCCAATTCAATAGCACTTAATTTTCATTAAGAATGCAGAATGGGCTTCAAGATATGAATGCTTCATAACAACCGATCTCCACCCATCCATTCAGAGCAGCTTTAAACTTAGGAAAAATGCCTAATTTAGAATGTTTCTACTTGTCACACTAATTTTTTTAATAAACAAAGAAATTGGTCATGAGGAGGCATCCAGAAATCACATGGACTCTGCACTCTGAAGTGTTTAATCCAAAAACAACTGCAGAGTGTGATTCCACTGCATGTGTAAAGTAGTTCTTGCCATTAGCTTTACAAAAAAAGGAAAAAGTGGATGAGTGAGGCCAGTGATTGAAAATTAATTATGAGCAATAATGGAAGAATGATGAAGCTCGGCCTGAAATCGTTCCGAAAGGGCTGTTTTTATTTTTAAACAAATTAGAACATATTGTGGAAAGTAATGTGTTGTTTTTTTATTTGTTATTCTGCTCTGTATTCTGCTGTTGGTAGTTCTGTTTGGGGAATTATTCAGAGATTCAGCTCTTAGAGGAGTAAGTATAAAAATGCAGTTCATTAACTGATATCCCAGCATGAGCTGTGATGGGCTAGCACTCGCTTATTTAGAAGAGTATGTAAGCTTCTATGCACTGGATACTATCCAACATTTGAATAGATATTCACTCATGCAGCAAGACTTTCCCTTGTGCCCCTTCCTCTGCCACCCCTAGCTGCTTTCAAAATCTGCTCTGGAAAATGAAGGTCTCAGTCAGTGTCTTGGGTCTGGGGAATGTTCCTCCCTCCTCCAAAATGCATTGTTGGCATTTATTTAATATCAAATAAGAGTTAAGGATATCTTAATAGAAGTACTAATTTTTTCCCCACCCTTTAATCAGTTTAGGAATTTTTGATAAGGTCTGAGAGAAACGAATAGCAAAAGGGGTGGGATGGGGAAATCACTCATGGTTTCAAGTCTTGCTACAGACATAGGCATGATTGATTTACCAGATTATTCTTGTTTCAGATACCCAACTGGCTGAGTGCCGTGAGCCACCTGAAATGGAGGGTGCTTCTTTGCTTTCCCTGACAGAGGAGAGCTTCAAGGCTTGCCACTTGACCTTGAGCCTGGATGATTATCTCTTCATTGCCTTTGTGGGCTTTGTGGTTTCCATTGCTTCTGTTGCTACCAACTTCCTGCTGGGCATCACTGCCAACTGCTGCCACCGTTGGAGCAAGGCAAGTGAGGATGAGGAGATGTAGTCAGCTGGCCTGATCCTTCCTGCTCCTGCATCGTTCACAGCCAAGGAAGGGAGAGGGGGCAAGGACTGTCATGCTCAGGGAAAACAAGGAAACTTGTCTTTCCCCCACTATGCTGTTTTCCTGAGCCTTCCTCCTCACCTGCAGGCAGCATCAGACTGCCATCCATCCATCTATCTGCTTGTTTGGAGACAGGGCCTGTAGGGATAGGAAGACTGAAGTGTGCCTTGTACAATTCTGTTTGTGCTGGAAACAGCCAGACAAGTTCTGAAAAATGACAAAAACACATGCTCAGACCACCCTTCATCCTTTGCTTTCTCTTCTTTGCTCCTGCTTAATACATACTTAACATCCTTCCCCCCCCCCCATGTGCTTGTTGCATAGTCTCTAAATTCATAAGTGGAGTATATAATCGCTCAAAGATCCACTTGCAATGCATATCCATATGACTACTGACCAATGAGGAAAAAAAATCCAAAACTTTCCTTTTGGGAACCTTGAAGAATTCTGCCCTCCAGATCATTCCATCCCATAACTACATCAAGGAAGGTTGTTTGAAGAAGGTTCATTCTCAAGCATGAAAGTATTATCCCTTGAGCTTTGTCCACAAGTTCCAGTGGTCGTCCTTTGGACATATTTATACATTCAGAACTTGCAGTTTTATCAGTAACTCCCCCCCCAAAAAAAAATATTTTGGAGACAAAAAAAAAAGAAGGGCAGATAGACTATTTTTCATCCCAATTGCTAATTATTTTAGTATAGATGGTGCTACAATTTACACAAATGTCTGTTGGTTTTATGCCCAGCCTCATGCTAACCAAACAGATTCTGGCTAGACTGGCCTGCCAAGAGAGTTCCTGACCTGAACTTCAAATATGGCAGATATGCAGAGAATTACTATACTGCATTACAGGAGTATAAAACGTTAAATAATTAAAATAAGTACCATTATAGAATAAGGCTTTAATGTATTGCTCATAAAAAAAATAGATAGAAATAGTGTAAGACAGCCAAGTTGGTTCCAAAAGTGTTATAGAGTTTTTATAGGTGTGAACATTGAGGTGAACATTGGAGGATGATCGTGTTTTGGGTTGGGTGGAATTGGACTAGCCTGAACGGGGGAGGGGGGGAAGGGGGAAGATGTGGATACTTGTTGGAAATAATGTTTGTGGAGGATTAAAAAGTATAAGATGTTTCTTCCATAGACATTTTAGAGAATCACCCTAAACTAGCAATTTTTTCAACATATTGGCTGCTTTGTTTATTTTTTCAATATTTTTCAAACTATATCTACACCACAAGGTCAGTTTATGTATCTACTTAACTGGTTTTCTCTAAATGTTCTCCGTTAGAGAATCTTAGTAATGAAGAATTGTATCAAATTTGAATGCATAGTGTAGCAAATTTATGCATAGTGACATGGTGCCAAGGGATCACTAGCACTAGATGGTGCTAAAAGTCAGAATTCCAAGGGACATGTGGGAGATTTGAAGGAAGTCACATTTAGTGTTAACAAAGATTATTTCTCCAGATCTAATTGAACTGAATTGAAAAATAATGTGCATTTAAGATATGAGGGTGATGTTGACAACTCTGTCTCATTGCTACATTCCTTTGCTATCCCAACACACTCAGCATCTTTCATAAAAACATCTATTGTCTTTATTTTCACAACATGAAAAATCCCTAAGTACAGGAATAAATTATTATGGAAGTGTCCGTAATAGAACAATTAGAACAAATGGAGAGAATTAATTTTTTTAAGCAACAGAGGAAGCCAAAATCAGGGAAGGGAATAGAACTGAATACGTCATTATTTCAATTTACATAGTTCACAAGCCCAGTTCCTAGAAATAAGTGTAAAAATCAGATGAACACCACCAAGAACATTGATAACATAATTTCTGCATCTAGATCTACAGTGCTAATGGTGCACATGAAGATTGAGATGCCAAGCAGGCATATTAGACTGTAACTAGTTAATATTAACTATAGTTAATATTCCTGCCACAGGAAGCACCTTATGAAGCCTATAACTATCTCATAGAAATTTGTGTCTTCTGATTATAGTTAATATATTTCAACTTTTTAATTTTTTTGCATAGGTATAGGACCAAACAAGATACTGAATGCTGCTATTGGGGGAAAGGAGCTTGGGAGAGAGAAAGGATAGTAAAATCCCATTGTTCTCAATTACTCCCACTAAAATCAAGAAGGTGGTGAGTGAAGTTGTCATTCAAAGGAGACCAATCCTTTCCTTCTTCTTTTATGTACTTGAGGTTTTTTTACCCTGGTCATTTCATAGTGAGATCTACCAGGTGAGACCCATGAAGATCTGAGATCTCACATAAAGAGCCAACTCTGCCATCAGTCAAAATGAAGCAGCTTGCATCTGGCAGAAAATAAAATTGTTAATTATTTAGATTTGTTGCTGTTGCTATTGCTGTTGCTATTGCTGTTAAGGAACCATTACAGTTTTCATCCCCAGATGCCAAATTGTCCCTGACATGATCATTCATTCGTTCAGGAAACCTACAAATAAAGATGTTCAAAAATCACAACTTGACACTGTTCTCATCACAGAGTAACTTGGGGAAAAATATAACACTGTGATGAAAGGATTGGATGGAAGAAAGACTACTAATTGTCAAGCAGCTCTAAATGTTTGTTTTTATGAGGCTTTCAGAAATACCTGGAAACCAGTTGGTACAGGGCTAAAATTATATAGATGTTCATTTGTAAGATAAAATTATATCATGTGAATTGTTCTCAAGCTCTGTGTAACTTGCCTGTGTTGACCTATCATGAATTGCACAAAGAAATATTCAGGTTTATGTTTAAGGATCCCAGTCGTAGAGCAATCTGTACCGGTGTTAACTTTTCTATTCTAATTACCAAGCAAATAGAGATGGAGAAAAAGAAACATCGTTATTTAACTTCTAATAACAATTTCCTATTTTCACTATTGAACACAGTACATATCTATTGGCCAATTAGGAAAACATCATTTTATGTCTTGTAATTTTACACAATTGTGGTCAAAAAAGTAGATTCCACCACTTCTTGAGCTTGCTTGATTTCTGTCCAAGCTACTCTAAAATTGTTCAAATAACAAGCGTCAAGGTGCCTTTCAGTTTATAATTTCATCTTCACAGAGGATATGTGGGGGGATGATCTAAAAAGTATTTTTAGAAGTCCAGCTGGTGATAAGAAAGTCATATGATTATTTATGGTATGTTAACCTGCAATTCTCTGACATTTGCAGCTGGCAAAACTGGTAAAAATGAGTTGAATAAGGTAGAATGAAAACTGGGTTCTGAATTCTCATGCAGAACTTTCATTGAATATGAAAGTTAACACACACTGACTGAACTCTTCAGATATCCCTTCAGATTCCAATTGTGTTAATTGAATTAATTCTAGAGAAATCAATGTCAGTCACCATCTTATACAACTCAACTCTCGTGGGATAATTCTACAGTCCAGTCTTCCTCAACCTGGACATTCTCATAGAGGCAGACTCTAAGAATACATAATAATTGCCATACTTTTTAAGGACTTCTTGAAACAGACGTCCCCACATCTGAAGAGCACCTAGCTTGTAAAAGCTTAGCATAAATTATGAGCTGTTTCAGTTGGAATTGCCGTAGCTCTGAGAATCTTTTAGAAAGAACATAAATTAATAACCTAATCCCAGTGACCGGGATCTATTTCTCATACATCTGTTTCTTAAAGGCAGCCATATTCTCTCGCATTGCAATTATGGTTCTGAAAATAGGGTTTAAAAAGTGATTTTTACAGAAAATCATGAAGAAAATGGGTTATGCTGCTCCTTCCCATACTGTTCTTTTTTTATCACACATTGCCTATATTTTCAAGAGTTGGTATCATGTAGACAACAATATCTCTTTCCAATGTCCACTTAGCAACATTTGAACATGAATCTTGTGGCTGAATGTAACATAAAAACTCCACCTTGTGTGCCCTTGGCAGACTAACTCCTAAGATGTGAAAATTCTTTTTCAAGTAAGCCCATGTTATTTATGAAATTATGGAGCCTACATACTGTGCAGATTTATCAAGCATGAGAACATATTGTTGAATCTGAATAATTTGAGCGTAAACTATAGTCAAGGTGCCCCAATCAGAATTCAGCAGTTAATTACAGGCCTCAAAGCTAAACTTGTTTCTTAGGTTAAGAACTGAGATATCTCACAGACAGACTGTAGAAAAAGAATCTTTACTGCAAACAAAAAATGAAGAGTTGATTGCCTACTATCAGTGAAATATATAAGTGTTTCTTAACAGGTTCAAACTCATAGCTTTTTTTAACCACCATTTCTATGAGTTAACAGACCCTGTAAAGATAGCACTTAGCAATAGCACTTAGATTTACATACTATTTCACAGGGCTTTTCAGTCCTCTCTAGGCAGTTTACAGAGTCAGCATATTGCCCCCAACAATCTGGGTCCTCATTTTACCTACCTCGGAAGGATGGAAGGCTGAGTTAACCTTGAGCCAATGAGAATCAAATTGCTGGGAGTTAGCAGAATTATTGGAGTTATTATTTTATTTATTTATTTATTTGGTCAAATTTATATGCTGCCCTTCTCCCGAAGGACTCGGGGCAGCTCACAAAGGATTAAAACTGTAGAACAGTAAAAATAAATTAATTTAGATTAATTAAAAATATAACAATTAAGACCCATATTAAAACCAAACTAAAAACACCCCGCAGGTCAGGCGATTTGTTTAAAAAGCCACGTCTTTAGGTCCTTGCGGAAGGAGCGGAGGTCGGGAGCCGTGCGGAGCCCGGTGGGTAAACCATTCCAGAGGGTTGGCGCACTCACAGAGAACGCCCTCATCCTGGGCGCAATCAGCCGATATTGCCTGGCCGTCAGCACCCAGAGGAGGGCTGCCCTATGCAAGCACGCTGGTCAGTGAGAGGTTGGCAGAAGGTGCTCCTGCAAGTACCCCGGGCCCATGCCATACTGATTAGAATTGCCATACTGCATTCTAACCACTGTGCCACCACAGCTCTTGGTGTGATCTGAGCAATTATTGAGTGTTCACATAAACGTTAACTCTGCCCTGAGATCAGGGTCAGGTTCCAAAACCCGTCGCTACTGGTTCGCTCATGGGCACGTGCGCGCTTGCATGCGCAATGCTTCTGCACATGCGCAGAAGTGTCCGAGCGGGTGGGTGGAGCCTCTCGCCACCGCCACTACCAGTTCATCCAATCCAGGGCGAACCGGTAGCAACCCACCACTGCCTGAGAGCCACTTTCAGCTTCTCATTGCTACTGATAATAGATGATCAGATGATCAACCTGCATGAGAGAATATGCCTTGTCTCAAGTTAGCCTTGATTTCAACTTCAGTTAGATCCTTTGGCAGTGTATATTTTTTTTGCCACATGCCTATGATCTTACCTTCATCTTGTCCCCAATTTAACGGTATCAATTTTAAATTTGTATTCCCGCCCCCACTGCCCGCTTCTTTTTCCACTACCCAAGGGCAGTCTCAAATTATGTAAAACTTATTAAGCTTTGTCATCTTTACTTTGGGGGAAGGTCAAGTGGCTGAATTAATTTGAAACACAGGCAACGGAAGGTAGGATAGGCAGCAGCAATGGGAGCAGCCCATTCATGCTAATATCGTTTTCTGCCAATTCAGCCAACTCACCTCAACTCTTAAATGGAAGACGTCCCTAAGAGCACCATTTAATACAACCAAGTAAATTACAAGGATGTATGAATGTATCCTGAGTAACTAAGGAAGCATTGCTGCAGTTAGTGGAAAGTTTTGGAGTGCTCTTCATTTTCTTTTTGCATATATTTAGGCTTTATTTAGAAAATTGTTGGTAATTCTTAGAAAATTTGGCTAATCTGCATTTTTCAGAGCAAGCGTCTTTGTGTCTCCTTTTTTTTTCCAATTCCAATTTTACATTCTGCTTTTGGGAGAGAGACCCCATTATATTACCAAGCTCTATATATTAGCTGTGGTATCTAATTTATCCTGTCCAACATACAGAACCAATGCAAGGCACTTTGCTTTCAAAGCATGATATAGTTCTTTTCCACCCATTAAACAGGAGCCAAATGGACTGGCAACTAGTTATTCTGTCAAAGTTGAAGGATTATAGGACAGGCTGGGTGCCATGCCCAGAGGAAGGAATGGCCAAGGGTTTTAGGAGGAATGGTTGGGAACTATCACATCCTTCCAGCACACAACACTTGTGGCAGTTGCCTACTTCTTTCAGTGCTACCCGCCCTAGCACCTCAGTCAATGATGCTACATCTGGCTATAGATGTATAGATGTTTCACTGTGAACCAAAAGCTTGTGTTTTAAAAATAATAAGGAGATGTGGACTGTTTGTTTGTCAGAGGCAAATGGAATAAATAGTCACAGTGCCTTTTGTAGCACTTGAGTAATATTGTAAAACTAAATTAAAGTGTGCATAGGACAATTTTTTAAAAGATTAACATTAAAACGTTGCTATGAAACTCAACTTTGAGGATTAGTCATCAATAATCTTACATGCATAACCAAATCAAAAACTTCCCATCATTACGTTTTGGATGTAGAATTTAGGATTGTCTGACATTTTGCATTCACACAACATTATTGCACTTGGGGAAATATTAAATATACGGATAAAATATTTTCTGAGATACCGTATTTTTCGGAGTATAAGACACTCCGGACTATAAGACGCACCTACCTTTTTTTGTGAGGGGGAAAACAAGAAAAAGAAATCTGCCTCTGCCTCCCAGCAATTTTGCAGCAAACAGCAAATAGCCTGCTTTACTTTCATTTTTGTTTTCAGCATAGGTTGATTAACACAAGAAAAAAAAATCTGCTCCCAGCAATTTACCCCCTTGCAGCAAGCAGCAGAGGCCTGCGCAAAACAGCTGAGAATCAGGAGGCCAATGGACAATCAACTTATGCTAATTAAGCTGTGCTGAAGCTGAAACGAGCTGTTTCTTTGCTGCTTGCTGCAAGGAGGTAAACTGCTGGGAGGCAGAGGCCAAAGGGAGGGGTCCAATGGGTGGGCGGGGCTATATTTGGTGTATAAGATGCACCTAAATTTTCACCCCCTTTTAGGGGTGAAAAAGGTGCGTCTTATACTTCGAAAAATACGGAACTTGTTTCTCCCTCATTTTTTTTTTCACACTATCTAGCTGATCAGGAAGGAAAATGGGTGGTCATCTTTACTTTCTTAGGATGCTGTTTTTGAGGCCTAAGAGCCAGCAGCAGCCCTTGAGCCACTCTTTGCCATAAAATGACACATTTTATGACTGTGGCATGAAAAGCCTAGAAGTTCAAAGAAGATTTGTGAAGCTTCAAAACAAGCTGCTTAATGGAAAGATTTTTAATTTAATTAAAAAATATTTGTCTAAAAAGTCAAGTGCAATATTATATGATATAACCAAACCCCTTGTGTTAAAATGTGAGTCAAGCCAATTTCATATAAAGTAAGCATGGATATTTAACATTCAGCCTGCTTTAACTCATGGAAATATAACCAGCTTGCCATCACCACAAGCAAGCCACAAGACAAAGATACACACGTAGACACACACAGCACATACTTTCCTCAGAAATCCTCAGAAACCTCAGAAATGTTATCCAGCTAGCCTTGGAATGGGGTACACTGATTTTAGAAATAAATCCAGGTAAGAAAAAAAATGAGACAATGAATTCTGATTGGATACTGCTTCATCAACTATTTCTCCCATCTGTCTTTTTAAGAGGTCCTGACCACCTTACCTATCCAAAGTATTAATAGATTTCCATCAGAAATAATTCAGACCACCACTGATGGAGAGAAAAAGAAAATACCTTAATTTTTTTTCAAAAAAACGGTAAGTTTCATTTACAGTATTTAAAGAGGAAAAGAGATGATGAATGATGAAGTTTTTTGCCCAATAAAGGAAGACTTCAGGTCAAACAACCTGGTAAGAGTAATGGATGACTTTCTCTTTGCCTGCTTCAAAGAAACTTTTTGAAATTTCTAAAAGCTGTTTTAAAATGAATATTATTGGTATGTATCTCATACATTCAGCAGAGACTTGAACCCCTTTCAAGAATAGCAACACAAGGATTGTGCAAAATTTCCTTAACCAGATTAGTTGGTTTCATTGAGATTCCACTAGCCTTCCCCAACTGGTGACCTCCATATATCTTGGAATTCAACTCCTATCCTTCTCAAATGACAAGACCATATCAGAGAAGACTGATTTAAATAGATCATCTTAAAATACTTTTACGGATAAGTCTACCAGTTTTGAAGGATTGTTTTGAGGGTGGAAACTACATATTATTTTAACTTTTGAATCCAAAACTACAATTTGCCTTGACTAGACAAATATTTACGTATATCACACCCATGTGTTATATGAATGTGTGTGAATATACATCACACACATATGTTCTCACACATATTGCTAAATATAAAATTATAAAATCTTATTGTCTGGCACTTTTAGTTGCCTGGAATATAGATACAGATAATATTGAGCTATATTTTTATGTGATATGCATTTAATTTTTATAATCGCTCTATCAAAAATAAAATACAAAAATGGGTTTTGTTATGCTTTTGATTTCAGTATCTTCCGCCATTTTGTCCTACCTGCTGTTACTTCAATTTTTTATTAGTGCTCATTTTTGAGCTTCCCTTTCCCACTTTTCCTTGTAGTTCACAGAAATTAATTTGGATGGCTCCAGAGAACTTTTTTCTTTATAAAATTATATGGGGTGCTCAGGACTTGACATGTTCCATATTGTTCCTTTATTTTCTCCATTGCGTTTCTTGCTGTATTAGAATGCATTGAGAAGGGACATGTGGAACAACTACACAATGGCTTTTGTTAGATAGTGTTAAGCACCTTTAAAACATGCCAATATCTTCCCTGGTGAATAACTTCTCTTTAGAGTTCCTCCATATTACAGTATTAGAAAATTCAGAAGGCAGTCCCTGAATCT